GTTTGGCGGGTCCGGGCTGGGGATCCGAACCCGCCACCTTAGGTGTACGTGGCTGGCGCCTTAGCTGGTTGAGCTATAGGCGCCGAGCCTGTAATCAGGTTTCCAGAAGTGGACTCAGCCCTGGCCTGGGATTCCATCCATTTCCACAGTGGCCTCTGCTAAGGGCCCTGGATTAAAGTTGGGTTTCCTAGGACGGGCAAGGTGGCTCATGCCTGTAATCCCAACACTCTGAGAGGCCAAGGTAGGAGGATCACTTCAGCCTAGGAGTTTGAGGTTGCAGGGAGCTGTAATACCACTGCACTCTACCCAGGGCTCTTGGGCTTAGGCTATTCTCTTGCCTCAGCCTCCCGAGTAGCTGGGATTACAGGTGCCTGCCACAACGCCCAGGTAGTTTTTTTTGTTGTTGCATTTTGGCCAGGCCAGGGTTCAAACCTGTCACCCTCGATATATGGGGCTGGTGCCCTACTCACTGAGCCACAGGTGCCACCCCAGCATAAAGGAATTAATCAGACACAGGAAATGTCTTCCTTAGGGCAAAGTGGGTCCTCACTCCAGGGACCTTGAAGTTGAAGTTGAAAGTTGAAATTGGACCAGACCAGTCCAATTTTGCCAGCCTGAATAGGGACTGCCCTCCACAGGAGAATAGGCCAGAGAACCTCCAGGCTTATAATTCCTGACAGGCCCAAATGGCCCAGATTTCCCAGGCCCCGGGCACCAAGATATTGACAGTACCTGTGGTGGGGGCGGGGGCGGGGGCAGATGCAGCTGCTCAAAGTCCGAAATGAGTGATGTTCCCCCCAGGGCAGAGGGGTCCCCATCTGGGGGCAGGTAAGCTGGAGGGGGTGGTGGAGGTGGTGGCAGGAGGTCCAGGTCTGCAAGTGGATCCTTACCATCCAGGGAAGGAGGAGGCAGAGAGCATCCTGCAAGCAGAAGAGGAGAGAGGGTTGGTCAGAGCCTCCACAGTGGACAGAGGTTTCCTCTCCCCTAGCAGGCCATCCAGCAGGGTGGCTAAGGGCTCCGATCTGGGGTCACCCAGACCTGGGTTCCATCTCTGCCTCTGCCACTGACTTGCTGTGGTGTCTTCAGGCAAAAGACTTCATCTCTCTGAGTCTTAATTTGCTTGGTTGAGAAACGAGTCTCAATCTCTAACAGTTGTTGAGGACCAAGTCAGATGATGCACAGTGAGCAGCTAAGGCACATATTTCCAACCCATTAACACAGAGATGGTATTTACACATACACACACACACACACACACAATACTACAATTAAGTTCTCAAACTCATCCTAGAAGTGCTACATACTTCATTGCTGAATATCACTATAGTCATCTTCTAAGGACCCCCCTTGGGAAGCTATGCACTGACTATGCACCTAGTTCACCCTTCAAAGCAATTTTGGAACTCTTTTTCTGGAATGGCCATCAGAGTTGTTGGCGTCATATTACTCTCAATGTCCTGAATGTCATAAAAATGTCTTCCTTTCAACATTTCCTTTATCTTCAGATAAAGAAAAAAGTCATCAAGGGCCATACCAGCTGAGTAGGGAGGGTGTTCCAATACAGTTATTTATTTACTAGCTAAAAACTCCCTCACAGACAGTGCTGTGTGAGCTGGCGCTTTGTTGTGATGCAAGAGCCATGAGTTGTCAAAGATTTACAGTTAAGATTTTCCTGTTTCTCTATTTTGTTTTTTTTTTTGAGACAGAGCCTCAAGCTGTCCCCCTGGGTAGAGTGCCATGGCATTACAGCTCACAGCAACCTCCAACTC